TGTCCTTGACAGACCCGCTGGAGGAGCGCTCAGACTTGGGCACGATGTAGTCCTGACGCGGTCCCGACTCCACCTCCAGGGGGGCATCAACAGGCTCGGTCTCCACCGGGTACTCCGCGGCGGCTGCCTCCTGCGGAGCCTCTGAGACGATTGGAACGTCAGCAATATCGCCATCCTTGTCGAGGTCGGTCTTGGCGATTACCTCCAACTTGTCGATCGCAGACTCCACTGTGCCCTTGAGGATCTCCTCGGGCTTGTTGACCGGGGCGGCGCGCGCCGCCACGTCCTCCTCCTCGACGACTTGCCTCGAGCTGCAGAGTCCCATAGCAACGCCACGCGCCCGCTCCTTTTCGGCACTTCCGTCCACTTCGTCCACGCAGCCCGCCGCGTTTGAGCGGTGTGAACAGCGCACAGCGCCATAGGACTTATTTTTTTCTCAATAACAAGGCTGTGAATAGGGGGTTTCTTCTCAAAAACAAGGTCTGTGAAGAAAAAAGCTACGGGCTTTTTGGAGCACTTGAGCACGACGTGAGAACGGGTTCTGGATGCTGGAACCTGGAAGCCTCCCTCCCGTTTTATTCGCCGCCGGGTCTTCTTCTTCTCTTTACTCTCGATTACTCTTTCTCTCTTCGGGATCGGGTCGTCCCACTCATCGGACGACCCCACACGTTCGTCTCGCCCTCCTCCCTGGGCCTGGCAGGGTCAGGCATCAGGGACTCCCCCTCACCAGCGCGCAGCGGCGATCGTTTTTTTAGCCACCCTTTAGCCTTTTCGTCGGAGGGCTGGCGGCTGCGGCTTTTACCTGTGTGGGTCGGCCTGCTCCTATGGCTGGGCCTGGGGTACGCCGCGGCGCGCGCGCGAGACTAGAAACTCGTGTACTCGCGAGTCTGCCGCGGACCCTGGCTGGCTCGTTCGTGACGGCCCTCTTTACCGCGGCTTCTCTCTCGGCCGACTGCACGCTAAAGGCTACACGCTCGCACACCACTTGCAGAGTGGCTCTCCCGGGCGCTCAGCCCACGGCGGAGGCACGCCAGGCCCCGGGCAGCCGGCCGTCACTCGCCTAAGCGCCTAAGCGGCCTAAGCGGGGGGGTGCTTAGGGTGCTTAGGCGCTTAGGCGGCCCTTGCGAGCGTGGCGGCGTGGTGGTATCGTAATACAAGTGACTCCGATGACACACATGATGCTCTTGCTAGTGTCATTGCTCAGAGAGCAGCCTCACCGCGTCGAAAGTCTACCACTGGCCCTGGTCGCACACCGCCGCTGAGCTGTGATGATGCCCACAGCACCAGCAGCAAAGGCGGGCGGGCCGACCCCGCGGCCATCGCCGCCGCTGCCGCCTCCTCCGCCGCCGGCGCCGCCCCCTCTGCCGTCGCCGTCACCTTGGGCTGCATCACCCGCGCCGCCGCCGCGCACCGGCTCGTGCTCATTCAAAGGCGCCTCGAGTTGCAGGCCAGCGGCGCTGACGTTGTCGTGGTCGGGCTGCCCAACGTCGGCGCGGGAGGGAGGGGGCAACGCCGTTATGAAGAGCGCGAGAGCGAGCGCCGACGGCCCCAGATTCTGAGCAGCAGCC